ACTTACCCTCCAAAATTACCTCAAAAAGTCAACTCTTTTGAATCCAAAAGATGTGTCATTTGATCCAAGAGGCATATCTATTCATAAAAGAACCTTACAAATTTCCTAGATGCGTTGAATTACTCCAAAAGGTGTTTAGAACAAGTGTTCTTTTGAAAATTTACGTAAAATTCGCCACGAACCAGCTTAATGCTCGAAAATTTGTCTCTGGTGCATCTGATGCATAATGCACTAAGGCTCTGTCAAACGGCGCATCAAGCGCCAATCTGGTGCATCATGCGCTAGATTCTCAAAATTTGCTATTTTGGCTCCAAATTTTGTCTTTTTTGCTACTTTTGCTCCAAATACCTAAAAAGTTATACTTGTAACAAAAACACAAAAATACCCTTCTTTAAAGTACAATATCACCAAAAATAGGCATAAATTACATACTTAAAACAACATATTATTTTGGTGTATCATCAAGGCGCTGGTCTAAGCCCCTTAGCGCCAAACAGGCGATGCCTAAGTGTCAAGCTCTTGAAAAATGGCTTGTTTTGGGCTGTTTTAGGCGCCTAGACGCCCGAGAAAATGTTTAAGTGTCAAAATCAAGTCCTAGAAACTTGGAGGCTTATGATAGATGACCTAAAAAGGTGTATTGGGTGCTCGCCCTTTCAGGGACGGCGTCGGGACACCTATCTAGCCTGAAACCCTAACTTTTACGGAGAACGCTCGACAGAAGATTTTTTTTTCGAACTGGAAGCTATGGGAGACTCCATGCAAGTGAAGTCTAGTCACATAACATGAAAATGGAGTATTTTAGTTATTCATGCACTGACAAAATCTGTGTCAACTGTCGTTCTGAACCACGGTACAGGTAGGGTGTCCTGAACCCTAACTTTTTTGTAGCGCTTATAGTTGGACTCTGTGACTTTCTATGGCAATGAGAGATTACGAATGGACGTGTGGTGACTTTTAATCATCAAATTAGTCACCGACCAAGCCTCATTTCTTGGATAGGCCTCATGGAGGTAATTTTTCTAGGTATGGTGGAATTTCCACCAAACCTAGCTAATTGCTTCGAACAAGTGAGAGAAGGTCTCATGTGGGTGTCTTGAGCTACCAAATGCAACGGATGAACCGTAGACCACCTTAAGCCATGAAAGTGAACACCCTGCACTCGTGACCTCAAAAATTGATGACAATAATTGATAATATCTTTTTGTAACACCTTGATGGTTCCTTCCAATGAATCGACATTGAGGCCCTCGATGTTCAAATGGGTCTAAATTTTGGATACCTTCCTCTGGTTTCACTGCATTAGAGTGGTTCGACAGTGATTTGTATTCTTTGGTCAAAAGAACATTTTTGACCAGGTCTAAAAGTTTAGCTAAAGTATTTGGTTTTTCCATGTCAAGAAAATAATGGAATGGACCTTTGCGTAGACCCTGCACAAGTGCTACATGGGCGATAAAAGGCTCAACATCCCTGAAGTCAAGCATCTCACACTAGAATCTAGTGATAAAGTTCATTAGGCATTAAAAATAGAACTTATTAGATCCTTAATAATGCTTGAAGTCTTTTTAACACCTTTTAATCACTAAAAAAATGAGCTATGAATATTTTCTTAAATTTGTTTAAGGAGGAGATGACTCTTACATATACATTTTTGAAAGAGTGCAGAGCTGGTTTCTTAGACATTGTGAGGATTAAATGACACTTAAGGGCATCATTTATTTGTCCAAAGTAAACTGCTGATTCAAAAGAGGATATGTGATTAGTAGGATTAGTACTCCCTTTATAAAATCCATGGAAGAGATATTGAACCACTTTGAGGTAGGCTAGTTGGTGTTGTTCTACCTTACAATTTCTCGGGAAAATGTGCTTTCTTGTAATCTTCTCTTTCTTCTTCTTTCTTCATCATCTGAGGACTTTAGGGTTCTTTCCATTGGAGGGGGGTGGCCAGGGAGGGTGTTGGGGTGAGGGTCAGGGGTGGTTTGGTCTGTCTTAACAATTACTCTGGAAAATGTGTTTTCTAATAAGTTTTTTTTCTTCTTCTTTCTTCATCATCCGAGGACTTTAGGATCTCTCCTCAAATGAAATACGACACATCATTATCATCTTCTTTATCTTATAATGTCAAAGCTAGGGTTCTCCTTGCTCTGGTTTGAGGCAGTTCTTCACTTAGTGCCTGATAATTTTATTGTCCTTGTCTTGGCGCCGGGGGGGGGTGGTTTGTTCAGCCTAAAAAGTTTCTCTGGAAATAGGTTTTCTTATAATTTTCTCTTTCAACTTCTTTCTTCATCATTCAATGACTTCGGGGTGACCTTCTTAAAGGACATACAACACATCATTACCATCTTCTTCTTCTTATAATGTCAAAGCTAGGGCTCTCCTCGCTCTGGTTTGAGGCAGTTCTTCTCTTGGTGCCTGATATTTTTCTTGTTTGTGTCTTTGTGCCACAGATTCTGATGATCCAATTTGACTTTTTGAATGGACCTTGGAACAATTTTTGGACACTTCGTATCTTACTTCTTCTATCATTTTGTTAATTTATTCTCTGAGTTCATTAATTAGTTATGTCACGAATTCTCTCGTTGAATGCATCATTATTCATTGCTCTTTCTTTTTTACTAAAATTTCTCTTTGCAAGATTTGAAAATGGGTTTCGCGTTTATCACACTTTTTAAAATGTTAAATGTCTTTGGGTCATATAATCCAATAGGGGCGTGGGACATGTGGATGAAGTGAAAAAAAGTTAAGGGATTTTTTAAGGGCAAAGAGAGTTATTCAAAGTGCTTGCCTTATTTTTCCTTATTTATGTTTTATTGAGCTAATATGCTCAGGGATATAACCAATAGAAAAAAGATATGTTATAGGCTATACATTATGGAGCATAAGTAAACTTACTATTGTTAAAATGCTTTGTGTGGGTGTTAGAAAACCAAAATGTGGTATCATTTACTCCGATGGAGTGAAGTTTTCTTCCTTCTGCCTCAAGGAATTGTTCATTTAGCTTAGTGATGTAGCCACGTAGCTATCACCAAGCTTGGTAAAAGGATTCAATTAGTACATGCAAGCTTCGAAGAAGAACTCGGGAAAAGTGAGTGTTATTCAAAGTGCTTGCCTTTGAATAACATGTCTAACTTGCCTTCTTTTTAAGGGCAAAGAGATTTATTCAATGTGCTTGCCTTTTTTTTTTCTTATTTACGTTTTATTGAGCTAATGTGCTCCCACAGGGATCTAATCAATAGAAAAAAGATATGTTATAGGCTATAAATTATGGAGCATAAGTAAACTTGTTATTGTTAAAATGCTTTGTGTGGGCGTTAGAAAACCAAAACGTGGTATCATTTACTCCGTTGGAGTGAAGTTTTCTTCCTTCTGCCTCAAGGAATTGTTCATTGAGCTTAGTGATGTAGCCACGTAGCTATCATCAAGCTTGGTAAAAGGATTCAATTAGTACATGGGGATGAAGTGAAAAAAAGTTGAGGGATTTCTTAAGGGCGAAGAGAGTTTTTCAAAGTGCTTGCCTTCTTTTTCCTCGTTTATGTTTTATTGAGCTAATGTGCTCACACAGGGATCTAATCAATAGAAAAAAGATAAGCTATAGGCTATACATTAGATAGCATAAGTAAACTTATTATTGTTAGAATGCTTTGTGTGGGTGTTAGAAAACCAAAACGTGGTATCATTTACTCCGATGGAGTGAAGTTTTCTTCCTTCTGCCTCAAGGAATTGTTCATTGAGCTTAGTGATGTAGCCACGTAACTATCATCAAGCTTGGTAAAAGGATTCAATTAATACATGCAAGCTTCGAAGAAGAACTCGGGAAAAGTGGCGATCTTGGTTGGAAGATTTTGCTTAAAGACCTAAGCTTAATGAGCTCGTTCAGAGGAACTCGAGCGAATGCTAGCATGCTTCAGAGGCACTCATGAGATCATTTCAGGTGAAAAGGGGCTCTGTAGTTTGTCACCTCTAAAGATATGAATAACGAGTATGATTTATCTGGTCAGTGTCACACCGTTAAGTGCTTGGTTGGTAAGCTTGGTCCATGAGACTCATTTAGTAATTAAGCTTTTCTGTTGCTCAATGAAACTCATTTTTGGATATACAAGTATGTTATATTAATCTTCGATAAAAAAAAATAAAGATGAGAGAAAGTGTTTTATATAGATCAACCATCATGGCTTATAGCATGGTCATGTATCATTCATAATACAATCTATACAACCTTTTTACAAATGAATATCTTAACGCAAACTATAACTTCTAAAAAAAACTTCAAGGTCATGAATGACAACTTTTAATGGCATGCCAAAAAAAAGTTTGACATGAACTAGTATACGATGCAATTTTATACAGCCCAATTTCTTAAATTTATTCGTATAATTTCCATATATTCTAATTCTATTTTATTTAGATGAATTTTTTATTGGCTATAACTTTATATCAGCTAATTAATTATAGCTTTTAACCTTCATCAGGTCATCTCAACTTGTCAATTAACCTAAGATAAAAAAATATCAAAAAATCTAATATGATGGTTTTAATATCATTGTTTTCTTATGAGAAAACCAAATATACTCCCATCATTCAAAATCGTGTATCGTCTCCATCATCGCAAATAAATTTATCGTTTATTTTGACATTCTGTGTTTTTAAGATGAACAATCAACTGCCATTATTTTTTTCATTATTATGAATAAATCATCTGTAGTTAACCACATAATATTTCTACACTGCATACCAAAAAGATAAAAAATATATATATTCTTGTGAAAATTATCATATAAAAAATAAATGAACTTTTTTCATCCTAAAGATTGAATAAATTGTACAATATTATTTCAAAATTTATGAAACTTTTGGTCCATATTAACACAACTAATCAACTACTTAGAGTGATATAGTTGCAATAGTAAAATAGCTATTCAGAAATATTAATGAACCAGTCATAAACCATTAAATACAAGGGTTTAAGATGGCATTTTGATGTGATATAAAAGATTTGGGTGGTATAAATGTAAAAAAGTCTAGTTTATGCTAGATATGTAAATCCAGAGTGAGATGTACGTAAATGCCCTAAATCCCTAATGGATTGCATTCTTTGATCGACTTCTTAAGAGCTCTCTAGGCTCTAGAATCATATACTTTTGATGCCACTGAGTTTCCCCTACAACAAAGTTGAAAATACATTTTGATTACTATCATAACTTTATAATGGGGCAAAATGTCCAATAAAAGTCTATCCAACAACATAAGTGCCGATCTCATTAAGCTGTGGGGACATACAAGCTGAATGAAAATGATTGAGAAACAACAAACATGCTGCCGTAAATCTAAACACCATAACTATCCATGGAAATTCCTAAGGAAATTAGAAAATATTCCGTTCTATATTGCAAGGCTAACCTTGAAAAAAAATTGAAAATTTACATTCATACTACCCAATTCATATGTATTTACATACCAAACACCTAAAATTCACTTTTTACTTATTTGGCATCTTACCTACGAATAAAAAATTATATTTTACCCTTTTAAAGCTAAAATAGTGGTATTTTTTATGTGCTATGAAGGATTTGAGTGATAGAAATGCAAAAACAAAAATGCAGATGTTATACATGCACCCCCACTCCTAAAAGCGCCAAATGAAAACATTAAATCATAAGCCAACTACAAAAACTTGACAATTCTGAGAAAGGATTTGTTACCTGGCAAAAATTATTTTTCTGTCACGAATTCTAACCACATAATTTGCAATAAACCACTCACCATTTAAAAAAAAAGGGATGAAATTTTGCATAACACATAACAAAATATCACATGATTCTTATTAATTTACATATTCAGCACCTACACCTTTATATTAATATTTATAACACTGGGTGTCATAAAACTAGATGTATTCCACTTTTAAAAAGTAGGTAAAAGTAATTTTTTTTCTATGCGAGAGTAAAAATTTGAGTGCTTTGCACGTAAAAATGGATGTTTAGGTGTTAGATATGAAAACATAACAACCGTGGTATGTGCATGTAAACGCCCCAGAAAAACAACACTCACAAACTATGCATTAAAGAATGGTTATCTATTAAATTAAAGCATCCTTGGAAAAATTCATTTAGCAATTTAGTTCCCTTCAATTTCAGAAAATCCCACAAATTATAATTTTGATTTATATTGAAGAAGAGAAAAAGCCACAATATTTCATGCGCGCCACTGCACAACTATTCAAAATCAGGGAAAACCGCTTGCAGAGAAGCTTCATTTTTGTGAGGATAATGGCCACTTTATATCATACAGCACAGCACAACATAATAACAATATCATTTAAACAATGAAGTCTACAATACCCTTTCTTATTTCGAGTATGAAGTGTAACAAACCCTTTTTATATTTGATTATGATGAAATTGAATTCATTAGATTTACTATGAGATAATGCAATATAAATTTTGATTGATTCTCAATATATTCATCCATCACAAAATAAATCCAATGACAACATTACAACCCAAAATTTTCCCCGACAATACATCATAAGCAAGATGTTGTACAGCTATCATGCCAATATGATATGCTGTTTATTCCACAACTTCTGTATTCTTCGACATTTTGCAGGGCTTCAAAAGCAAATTAATGGTAACACAATTTGGCATTATTTTCTTCTTCAACATTAATCAAAAAAATATTTTCCATCATCAAACATTCCAAGTTACAAAACCTGTAAATAAAAATATTAAAGAAGATTTACATACATGCCGCACAATTCTTATGTATTTACATATCTAACACCTAAACTTCAATTTTTACATACATACCACCTTACCTATAAGCTTGAGAAGGTATATTTCAATTTTAAAAGTTAAAATGAAGATATTTTTATGTGATATGAAAGATTTGGGTAGTATAAATATAAAAAGTAAAGATTAGGCAACAACAACAACAACAACAACAAAGCCTTAATCCCACTACGTGGGGTCGGCTACATGAATCCTTTTTCTCCATTGCGTCCTATTTAGTGTCATATTTTCATTTAGTTCTAGTAAATTAAGATCATTTTTAATACAATAAGCCCAAGTCTTCCTAGGTCTACCTCTACCTTTCTTAACACAAGTCGAATTTAAAACATCTACTCTCCTAA